CCGCTGCGCATACCTGCTGATCGACATCGATCACCCTTAGCTCCGCACGGCGACCAGGATGCTAACTTTGTCCTTGAAATCGCTCTCCGCCAGCACAGCCTTAAGGCGATCCACAAGCGCCTGTGCCTTGGCTTCCGCCTCCTCGCCTCCGGGAATCTCAATAAGAAGACCCCCCCGCCTGAACTCTTCGGATCCTCGTGTTGGCTATATTAAGTTCCTCCAGGGAAATCTTCCCTCTCGCCAATCTTACCACTTAAGTGTATGACGGCACAGAATTGTCCTCTGTCTCCGCGCACTTTAATAAAACCGCCGCAGTCTTGGGAGCACGAAAACGAGACTCCCTCGCGGCAAGGCGACGCGGTATCACCTTCGAGTCCTGTGTAGTAGGGCGAGATATTTCCGCGCCCTTCCCACTCCTGGATACATCACCCGCAACAGCGGCATAAGAAGCGCGAGTGGTTTTCGCTACACCACCGGCAGCCACGCGACGCGTACCACCAACCCCAGTCGAGGGGAGAGGCATCACACCTGAGTGCGCTGACTTACCGGTTTTCCCGTCAGGAGCGTCTTTCTTCCCTTTCTTTTTCTTCCTTTTGCGCGCACGCTGGAGCCCATTACTGTCCATGGCTCACATCATTCTCGGGATACGTCAGCGAAGGCGGCGGAGACTCCGCACACAGAGCTCTCGTAGGCTCCACTTCACCCCCACCACGCACATTTCCTCTGTCCACACGCGAGTCCCTACGAACATCCAGAGCGATCCGCGACGAGTCCATTCGACCTATCCTGTCAGCTCTATACAGCCGGGGAGGCATATCCTCTAATCTCTTACGGACCCCACCAAGAGATGGCCTATAAGCAGGAGGCAGGTCTCCAGTCCCGCGTGTCTTCCTATCTGCGACAGGGTCCCGCCGCCGCAAGGAGCGTCTCCTGCAAGCACTCCATCAAGCACTCACCTATTCTAACACTAAGCAGAAAAAATCCTTATTATTTATTTGTAGAAAATGGATATCAGGGGTATCAACACCAAAGATCTAAGTCACAGGTCCTTGCACGTAAGAATCATTAAGGTGGACTCACCCACCCTCTTGGATCCAATTCTATCATGCCCAAGAAAATCTCGAGGAACTACTTGAAGATCATGCGCCGGATGGCAAAAGAGCGGGAGCTGATCCACAATCTCGATCACGTGCTGCCAGACGAATATGTCGCGATATGCGAAGGAAAAACCTGGTAACGGGAGATGGTAATGAGCCTCGAAGAAAGAGATACGATCATAGTAGCATTAATAAATTGGAGCCGTGTCATCCGATGCCCGATCACCGACATGTACATATTGGAGGATCGATTTCGGGAGATGAATTGGCTAGCTATCCCTTGCGGGCTTGCCCATCTTGGCCCTGTCGGGTTAAGACTCAAGAAGAGTAGGGCACTCACTAAGCTCTGCTATGAGGGAGAGAAGAATGGATCCTCAAGCCCATAGAAACCTATGATACTGTCATTACGCTTGAATTGAGGCGTGAAAGTGAAGATGAAATGAGCAGCCTGCAAGATCTGCTCATCGCCATGGGATGTGCTCAGTATACTGATGTAAAGATAATGCCTGCAATACCTGGCATCCAGTAATAACATAAGTCTTGTTACGTCCGAGGGTGAGTTTGGCCAATCCTTTTTTCGAACTAACCCGAGACTTTACATTGGATTAAATTTTCGTGATTTATGTAGCGAGGGAGAGGCCGTGATCGATTAGAGGCGGGTATTGGATATTCCGATGATAGTAGATTCCGTAGTTTTACGGGGGCTGCTCCTCCGTTCTGCCTAGATACGCGATAAATTTCTCTAGTACTTCAGGACACTCTGGACAAATTGCGAGGGTACGCAGAGTGACTGTTAGTACGGAAACATGCACTGCAGGATTCGAAATGATCGGGAAAGCCCAAGTGGATGTAATATCTTAAAACTCCTTGGTAATGCCTCTTTTCGGCGCGAAAGTGTAACACTCCGGGCACTTGATTATACCGCTCTCTCTGCGTTGAAAGAATAACGATGATACGCAGCATGCACTAAAAACTACGTAGAGCGCGGGTTCACAATCAAGATTCGAGCGTCAATAGATGGCCGCGAGCGCAGAAATACGGGGCACATTCTTTGTGTGACTAGCTGCAACTTAATTTTCTAAAGAAGGGGTTTATACGATATTTCACTTACTTTACATTATCTAGCTCCAGTTCAGTCATCGGAGATCCTGGACAGTAGTTATAGTCTGCGCTGCGCTCGGGGTGCGAATTCGCGGATCCTGATTGGCGCAATTTCCTGATCCGTTTATGCGGATTGGTCCAGCGCTGGTTTGAAGCACACATCCATTTCGCGAATAATTAACAAGTACAATCGCGTTTAACTAGCGCTTGATATTACGAATGCTTTTTAAGAAATAGAGTGGGGTTTTGTTAAGAAATGTGCACAAGTACATTCATTTAAACCAATTTATACAAATATATTTATATGGTTCGATTATACAAAAGTGACTAAAGTTACTTGTATTAAACTAACAGTTAGATTCGGATCTTATAATAAAAAACGATCTTACGCTAGAATTACTGAGTCAGATAGAGGCCGAATTAAAATTAGAGTTTGAAGCGGAACTTATTACTAGAAATCGAAAAGGGTCGCGTATATAGATTTGGAAAAGGGCGCAGTGGTCGAAAAATAACTGACTGGCTCTATATCTACTCGTCTATTGCCCATGGGTCTTCGGAAAAGTCCTCCACCATCGGCTCACGCCATAGGCGGTGGCGGGAGTGAGAGAGGCGTCAGGTGCGGCTCTGGCGGTTTAGTGTCCGCATGCGTTACTCAGGCTGATCCACGCTCGCCAGTGAATATACTTGCGAATTTTGGAAAATATTTTCTGGACAAGTTTTTTAGATAGCTATGAATGTGACACCTCCTCCCCTCTCTAAAAATAAAACGTTGGATTACGTTTTATTGGTTATCTAATCTAAAAGAAGGAAAATTTTGATTAACACACACTGTTCTTAAATCTATCGCAAATGCTTGGCTTAGCGCATTTATTTAATCTATCGCAGTATTACAATTAGTTTACTTAGAGCTAATTAATCGTCTAGTACAGTACTCGGAATTAGTTGCCCATTTCGGGCAGATTCCTGAGGCGACCTCCTCTACCACTCGAGACTCGGCGGCCGAGCCCACGTGATGCTATGCCCCAGGAGCGTCGCGATACAAAAAGTATTCTGGGAGCATATCTTCCGGCAAATATCGTTAAAATATTTTCTTTCCTATATGATTTTTATTTTAATATTTAAATTTTTTATTATTAACATATTATGTGTATATTCTACAATAATATAATAAGCAATAATACAGTAAGCAATTATTATAATACTGTAATTATGTCGTAATTATAGTATTATAATAATTGCTTACTATATTATTGCTTATTATATTAAACTTATTATATTGTTTATTATAAATGTAAACTCCACCTGTACACTGAGTGCAGGCCGTAACCATGGATTATTGTGTCCACGATTAATTTTATTAATTTGATGATGATGAAAATTATTATGATTCCTGCACTTGCTGAGCCGAATGTAATGAATCCCTGCCAGGGGCGTGCCCCTGCGCTTTCGGCAATTTTTTCTAGGGATTTCTTGTCGAAGAGATTTGTCATTGAGACGCTTCCTGAAGATATGTTGTAGCCCATTGCTCTTCGCCAAGATGTTCAACATTTATGGTTTTTCTACCGGGAACATTATATGATTACGGAGCCTGTTTAGATCTTTGTCCGAGTAAATCCTATTGATAGCGAGTGCTGCGGATGTGACGTATCTTCACGTTGATCGCGTCAGCGGTTGAATTATGAGTGGAAGTAGTGATTCCAGACGCGGCATAAAGCGGAACCAGATGTATTTGTACATGTTTGGCAGGAGCTCGCTGCAGTCTTCATGTGTCCTGTCTGTGTTAGTATTCTTGATCCGGGTAAAAGAAAAGCCGATTTATTTCCATAGGTCACAGGTAATTCAGCGAAGCATTGCTTTGTATGTCGGATTTTACATTTCACTAAAACACTTAATGAAGTGTATGGCTTCTCCGGCCGTGTATCCAGGGGATGTGGTGCGCCATTCGTTTGGCGCGATGCTATATAGTGTGAGTGTATTTTGAAGTACTTGTTTCTCCAAGGCGCATTTTTGTTCCGTTATTTTCCGATATAAGCGCGTCAGTTGTGTCCTGATATATTTCTCCACATATACAAACTTAGATAAAATATGTATTTTATAATTTGAAATACTTGCTTTTTATGTTTATACTCAAATTAAATTAGTGTACGATTTTAACATGCATCAGTGTTTCCAATCGAATTCGCTATAATGCTTATTATACGAAGAAGGAGAAAAAAATGCTTTTAGAGGAGTTTATTTCCGAAAAAAAGCTATCAAAAATAATTGCGTCAGATTTAAATTAAAAGCTATTGAAAGTACAATAAAAAGATCGGTGTGGCGAATTAAATTTGGAGATTTGCTTAGTTATACAGGCTACACCTCCTCCTTAAGGAGATGTAGCCTTTTCCTCCCTTTCCTTGAGAAAAGGAAGCTCCTTCTTTGATCAAAGAAGGTTTGATGAAACAAGAAATGAGGAATAAGGAATTCTCATTCTTCAAGGAAGGACTATGAATATGAGTATGTAATTGTACCATTCTACATAGGTTTTTACTGGTTTCGACTTTCCACGCGATGCAAAGGAGCGCACGATTTCTATAATTGTACTGTTGCAAAATCAAAACCCATGTACTTTTTTCCGGACAGAATAAGCTAAAATGAGCCAGAAATTGAATTTTACGCATAATAGTTCCACCATATTTTGGTGTATCAACAAAATAGCGTAAAAAACATACATAACTAGGCGAAAAATGATGTTCAAGTAAAACGATATGATTGGTCGGCGAAAGTTACGCTTACGCAAGTGACGGTTACGAAAGTTACGCAAGTGACGTTTACGAAAGTTATGTCGCATGTGATTCGTAGGATGCCGTCCCATTAAGCACGGATCGGAATGACGGATCGGATTTCTCACTAGAATTGAGTATTTCGTTCCTGTTCCGTAACAGTTTTCTCTACCTGTCACAGAACGGAACTGACATGCGTAGTTGAGTTGAAAAAGAAAGTGAAAGAAATGTAAACAATACTTTATAATATTAAAACAGTTAACTTTAACGGGAAAATACGCATATGCTCTCTAGACTCGAATTCGTTATTTGAACTACGTATTTTTAGCGAAGTTATTATTACCTTGACAATCTTTTCATTTCTACATCTACTGGACTTTCTTCTATATGTGAATTTTGGTTTAGAGACAGTATTCATTGGAAAGGCTTATAAAGAAGAACTTTAACGTAGCTGAAAATATAAAATCTTGAAACATGGATGAAAAAACAGTCTTATTAGTTATATTAAAAAAATTACAAACGGCGAAAAATTTGCCAACTTGGCGTGCTGTACTGATGTTCGAGAGAGTGCGAAAGTTGTACTCAAGGTACATTGTTTTATTACAAAAACAAAAAAATATGAGAATAAAATGGAAATTCTGGCCAATGTTCACGCATGAAATGAGGCATTTACAAGGTGCAAGTGATAATTTGGTTCTTGAGATGCAAATAATCATGAAAAATTCTTTAATTATTTTAGAATGACTCCAGAATTATTTGAAGAATTGCTAACGTTAGTTGGACCTCGGATTCAGAAAAAAAAAGTTTGTCGAATCCCAATTTCACCTCGTACAAGATTGCAGTTGACTTTGCGCTGGTTAGCATCCGGTGACAATTTAGCATCTCATTCATATGCATTTCGTATTGCACCCAATACAGCATCCAAAATCGTAAGAGAAACTTGCACTGCATTGTGAGAGATCCTGAAGAATACAGTTTTTCTGCAACCTACCCCTAAAAATTGGCACAAGGTTGCTGATGAATTCGAACAAATCTGTTAATTTCCAAACTGTGTTGGCTCTATAGATGGGAAGCACATTATCATTCAGGTATGTATCTGATATGAGTGTATATCAATTGCACACAAGCCAATCACAGCGCTAAAAAAAATTAAAAAAAACTTCCTACACAAAAGTCATTGTGACTGACAGTGGGCAATTGCTACAGTATGCAAGTGAACCACTTTCTCTGATATAATTTCATTTTTCATACATTTTTTAACAAATCTGACATTATTGTATATATATATTCTTATTAATTATAGGCACCACCGAATAGTGGTTCATTCTGCTATAATTATAAAAGTAGTCACAGTATAAACCTACTAGCTGTGAGTGATGCAAATTGTTGCTTCAGCTTCGTGGACATTGGAGCAGAAGAGAGACGTAGTGATGCGGGTGTATTTGCTAGCATGACCTTGCTCGATTATTAAATACAAATTTACTTCAACTGCCTGTGGCCAGGCATTTGAATGATAGTGAATTCAAATTTCCGTATGTCTTAGTAAGGGACGAGGCATTTCCACTAACATCTTATATGATGCGGTCATACTCTCGGAATGGGAACTTAATTATTACAAAGAAAATTTTTAATTACAGATTAAGTCGGGCATAGAGAACAGTCGAATGTGCGTTTGGGTTATTAGCGGCAAGATGGCGAATTTTTCGTCGGCCAATTGTTGCTCACATATCAACGGCCAAATTAGTCGTTCAAGCTGCAACGGCCATACATAATTTTATGAAACGTAAACTTCAATTGGAGCCATCGGAAAGAATGTATTCTGTTTTAAGTGATAATGACCGAAATGTAATGTCAACTGGAATTGAAAATATACGTAATTGCAGTGTATGAAGGAACGTTGAGGTTATACAAATTAGAGATGCCTTTGCTACGTATTTTGAAACTTCAAACCCACTTGATTGGCAGTGGAGGAAAGCTCTAAACAATGAATATTAAATTTCTATTTCTATTATACAGGGTGCGGCAGCATAACTTCCTTTTTTCAAAACTTAATAAAACCCATTGTATGAATCAGAACATTTTTATTTTTTTTTATAATGTAGGCGCATACCTAAAGTTTTGTTTTACATAGTTTTGAAGATCAAATCAGATAGGTGACGTCCCCCATTCTCCATACATTGAGTAAACCGATTTCTGGCGTTTGTCATGACTCTTGCCAGCATAGCAGGCGTTATGTTGGCAATTTCTTCCTGGATGTTGGTCTTCAAATCTTGTAGGGTACTTGGACGGTTCACGTAAACACGGGATTTCAAAAAACCCCATAGAAAAAAATCACAAGGGGTCAAATCGGGAGAGCGGGCCGGCCACTCCAAATCGCCCCTAATTGAGATGAGGCGCTCTGGGAAGTGTTCCCTCAATACAGCCATCGATGCTCTTGAAGTGTGTGCCGTTGCACCGTCTTGTTGGAACCAAATGTCCCCTAAGTCCAACTCATCTAGCCGTGGAAAAAAAAATTCCTGTAACATGTTTAAATACCGGTCCGAATTCACTGTCACTGCGACTTCATTCTCCTCAAAGAACCAGGGACCAATAATTCCAGCTGAGGAAATTGCACACCACACTGTAACTTTAGGTGAATGCAAAGGCCTTTGATGCAATTCTCGAGGATTGGTGTCAGCCCA